AGAATGGTGAAATATGTGACCCCATGGCTAAACCTTCAAGTAGTTGAAAATATTAATCTTTTAATAGGAATTGTTAGCAATGAATAGCAATTAGTTCCAATTAACATTGTTTCAATGATAACCACAATTGATAGCCACATTGCTTTGCACCAATAAACCCCAAACACCACCAACTTCGTAAGTGGAAGTTTCCTCAGGACTGTTAGTTATCATTACCGCAAAAAAAATTTTCTCTATAGTCGCTCTATCTCCAGTGTATATGCTGTTTTTCAGCTACACAGAACATCCCAAAGTTTAAAATTGTCGATAACCAAAATTGAGATTTCTTTTTTTTTCATCATCATCTTTCTTCAACAAATCTAGCACTTACCTAGTTCTAGCAGTAACTATAATTTTATCATCATTTGGTAGAGCAAAATAGTCTTCACCATCTTTGACTATCTATTTTATTATTATTACATGCAAGATTTGAAAAAAAGGAAAATATTATAATTCTAGTGTAAACAATGTTATTACCCCTTGATGTTAGCTTTCTTACAGAAATTTGGTGTTCTTTTAAAATGCTTAAGTACTAGGCAAAACAGGAATTACCAGTCAATAATAGATAAACATTAGATGATTGTAACATGTAAAATACTCAATGCTTTGTACACTATACAATCAGTGTCTTTAGGGAGCCAACCCATACATTATGTATGAAGTAAACAAATAAAACATATCAATACACATGCAAGTCATCAGAAGCTAGATATGAAGAGCTAACTGACATAGTCACCCTATCTCTGGTGTATATGCCACTTTTCAGTTACCCAGAGCATCCCAAGGTTGAAAACAGGTGAATAGACAAAACTGAGATTACTTATTTTCATTCATCATCATCTTACTTCAACAGGCCTAGCACCTACCTAGTTTTATTTGATAGAGCAAAACAGCCTTCATGATCTATTTTATTATTATTATATGCAAAATTTATAGAGCTCTATATTATACTGTATAACCTAGTAATCCACAGTCACATATAAAACAAACAAGTATTAGGAAAAAACATTATCACTAAATAAAAAGCCTATGTAGGGCTGACTACTGTAGTTGAAAAAAAAGGAACCAAACAATGATCACATAGCAGACTATGCCATCTCAACTTTACATGAAGAATAAAATCCCTACATTGCTGGCTTCCTCAGTGCCAGAACAAATAAAACCAGAATTTCTAATTGTAAAATGTTACTCCATTGTAAAATTGTCATAAAAGTAGTATTCTAAAGTTAACTAATGGAAAGTTATAATGATGAAATCTGAGATTCTATTGAAACATCAAGCTTTCAATACACAAAGTGGAGAAACCAGTAATGTATGGAAGTGTTCCAGCTCTGTAACCAATACATCAAACTATATATCAAGCAATATGTCAAGCAGTTTTCATATTCATAATGTTTCTCCAACAGACGAAATCCTTGTCAGCAATTAACAACAATTATAACCTGTTGCAACACTGATATTTCCTACCAAGTTATCCATTGAAACAATGTTAATTGGAACTAATTGCTATTCATTGCTAACAATTCCTATTAAAAGATCAATATTTTCAACTACTTGAAGGTTTAGCCGTGGAGTCACGTATTTCACCATTCTGAGCAATCTCTGCACGGAGAATTTGAAGTTTCTGCCTTACAATCTGCTCCAAGACCACCAACACTATGGAAATGTTGAGTAGATGACACTCATGACCTGGACACAGGGTGCTGACTCTACTGAAGAATTCCTTGCCCATCTGAGCTCCAAAAAGAAGACGAGCATGTTTGGTGTGACGGGGATTCGATTGCAAATAAGAGAGTTACAGCATACGTAAGCAAACAAAAAAAAGGTGTTTTCTAAACTTCTAATCGCGCGAAACAAGAACAATATTAAAATAGACTAGTATTTGAAGAAACCACAACTTTTCAGTATGTTTCTGAAATTTAACCATTTAACATTATGTTTAAAATTGTTAACTTTAAAATAACGTCAATAAATGTATTTTTATTAGTAGTTGTGTTGCTGGAATACTTTATATATATATATATATACACACATCAATGATGGATATTGTAAGCGGGAAGTTTCCACATCTTATACAGAGAGGTCTTTGGAAACTGAAGAATGTCCTTGAAGATACGAAATGGTTCTTTATGCTTTTTATGTAGTGTTTTTATTCATCTTAAATTAATAATAAAGTTTTTAATTTGTCTTATTTTGTTTCACACATATATATATAATGGCTGTTATTTATTTATTTATCTTATTAGTTCGAAGTACAGCACACTTCCAAGTCCAGCACTAATAGGAAATCTGCTGGGGTTTGTACTATTATGTATGGCTGTCCTGGTCATCTATTTGGCTTCGTCACCCCAGTTTAAACGTCAACCACTTCCTGAAGAGTTATTCATCCTTCAAGGTGGAAGACTTTAAACATGGAGCTTTGTACTGGCAGTTACGGTATGTGTTTTGGTGGACGTTCCTAAAGAAGCTGTAAAGCGAAACGTCGAGTGTCCAATCAAAGAAAAATAGCAAATTTGGTGTTATAGGGTCGTTTACTACTAGTATTACATTACCGTTTTGTTGAAACTTTACGTACAAGTTGAATAGTATTTATATCAGTGCTTGCAGGAGCTCGCGCCAAAAATTTAATTTGACCGCTACTGGTGGAGGATAACAAGGGGAATACATTAGAAACAAACACACACAAGTACTAACACCACAGTCATAGAAATATATATCATTTCATTTATCAAAAGGACCGACCTAGTACGAGGGCAGGGCCCCTCCATTGTGCACGCTTCCTATTGGTTTTTATTCTTGTTAATGAATAAATGGATATTGTTTGTAATCTATTTTTCGAATAGCTGTGCTGTTTCTTTTAAAGCAAATAAATACATCTACGTTGTTGGTGGTAAGCTCCCGTCTCATACCATGTTGTAAAAAGACAGTAAAACCCTGACAAATTAAACATTATGTTAATTAAACCGTATTGTTACTTAAACTGCTGTAAGGGGGGGTACCCCATCTTGTCTAACACGCAATAATATTCTCTGTACAGAAGTCACGTAGGATGTTCATTATGATGTTACAGTAGAGGAGAAATTGAATTCTAATTGAACGATACTAGTAATGATTGTAGATGTAATCTTCGTTATGATCTCAAACGAGAGAAAAGTTTGTTTTGAATTTCACGCAAAGCTACACGAGGGCTATCTGAGCTAGCCATCCCTAATTTAGCAGTGTAAGACCAGAGGGAAGGCAGCTAGTCATTACCACCCACCGCCAACTCTTGGGCTACTCTTTTACCAATGAATAGGGGGATTGACCATCACATTATAATGCCCCCCACGGCTGAATGGGCAAGCATGTTTGGTGGGACTGGAATTCGAATTCGCGACCCGCAGATTGCTCCCTAACTACCTGGCCATACACGAGAGAAAAGAAAATTCTAGCTAGTCCAACACTGGTAATGGTATTACATGGGAGATTAGTATCGATGTTATAGATAAAAGGAAATAGTTTCCTAGTCCAACATTTCATTTTGATACTACGGAAAAAGGGAAGTTTTCTATCTGGAACAAATCAAGAGTAATATTTGTTTCGAATGTCGTGCAAAGCCACACGAGGGCTGTCTGCACTAGTTGTCCCTAATTCATCAATGATAGACTAGAGGGAAGGCAGATAGTCAACACCACCAACTCTTGGACTACTATTTTACCAATGAATAGTGGGGTTTACTATCACATTATAATGCCCCACTGCTGAATAAGTGAGCACGTTCAGTGATGTAGATTCGAACCAGTGACCCACAGAGTGCGAGTTGAGTGCCCTAACCACCAGGCCCTCAACAGTAGTGTAATGATATTATGTGTGGTTTTTATGTTTTCTAGCTTGTCCAACACATAGCAAAGAAGTGTTGATGGTCACCTTTTTTGCTGTGGAGAAAAAGAAGAATTTTTGTTATGGTAATTTTGTGCAGTGTTCATATTGATACTGAAGTGGAAAGGGAATATTTCTAGCTGGTCCGGTACAGAGTGATGATCATATGAGTAACTTCATTCTGATCTTAAGAAGAGAGGAAACTTTTATTTAGACAAACACACAATAGTAATGTTACAGGTTATGTTCATATTGATGATATGGTGAAAAAAAGAAAAATTCTAGCTTGTCCAGCACAGTAATTATGGCATGTGTTATGTCATATTAACTTACAGAGAAAATGAATTTTTTCGTGTAAACTGATACACAGTAAAATATCATGCCTGGTGAATATTTAAAAATAATGGAGGAAAGGGGAGTACCTTAGCTAGATCAATGCAAAGCAATGATTTTGGTTTTAACAATATGGAATACGTTTCACAATATAATGTTTTTGATGGGAAAATAATAATACAAGGCAAAAATTGATGCTTTCTCATTCCTTTTTCTTTAATATTTATCTTTTTGCTGACAAATGGATGTAGATGTGAGGGTTACCCTTTCAGCCGTGGGAGTGTTATAAGTGACGGTCAATCCCACTATTTGTTGGTAAAAGAGTAGCCCAAGAGTTGTCGGTGGGCGGTGATGACTAGCTGCCTTCCCTCTAATCTTACACTGCTAAATTGGGGACGGCTAGCGCCCTCGTGAAGCTTTGCACGAAATTCATAACAAACCTTATTTACAAAACATCAAATTACATTTAAAAAATATTTAAATTACTAGTTTATCCGAAAGAACGCCGTAGGCTGCCTGCAGGAGTAACCTGTTTTAACCACTCGCACCACTTTACAGTAGAGTGTTGTCTGTCAGTAAACACTAAAATGACGTAACATAAGGGACGCTTAACGTTGCAATTTGTATTGTCGTGACGTCAGCAAAACGTGCGCATGCCATAAATCACGAGAAGAATTATGCATTGTTTATTTGTAATTAAGCACAAAGCTACACAATGGGCTATCTGTGCTCTGCCCACCACGGGTATCGAAACCCGGATTCTAGCGTTATAAGTCCGCAGACATGCCGCTATGCTACTGGGGGGGGGGGTAATTATGTAGGCTACAACATAGCATGACAATGGAACTTTAATAGGAAGAAATAAAAATATTTGTTTCTCTTAATTTTCGTTTGATTTACCCTTGAAACAGAACGCGGAAGTATATCTAGTAAATAAAAAAAGATTTTACTAGGAAGAAGCCATTTTTCTGTGTTGTAAATTTTATGTTTATTGTTTGTTATTAATCTCAAAGTTACACCATGGGCCATCAATGTTTTTCTCACCGTGAGTATTGAAACCCGATATTCGACGTAATAGGCCCACAGAATTGTTGCTGGACCACCTGGTAGTATAATTTGTGAGGTGGGCCTTATGTCTCATTAATCTTACTATAGTGGACGTTGTGCGGATGTATGTTTCGATCTATGTAACCAAAATAATATAATAATATAAAATAATATAATATAATATAATAATATAAATAATATATACAATGTGGCGCCATCTATTGAAGGGCAACAGAAACAAATATCTATAAAATATTTCACACTTTGGGTATTCAAGATTTAGACAATTAGAAAAAATAACTAAGGTATATGCAACAACCATTTCTTTATCACAGGACACAATTTTAAATAAAAGTACTTTCCTCACAACAAGAATACGACTTTCACTAGGACTGACTGTACGTGAGGGTTTGATTATATCTTTATTGATGTAATTTGTAAATATAGTACTAAAAATGGAGTTCTTAAAAAACTTATTTTTTCGATAAAGGGTAGCACTTGTAATATATAAAACATTACAGTTTATATCAG